ACTGGAACCTGGCACCATGCCAGACCACGAGATTTAACTGATCTGTCGCAGGTCTACCGATTGGCAACCTATAATCCTTCCCACCCCTCATTGTCTCAATCACTCTAAAGCACACTACTGCTATAAAACAATGTAGGGGCCCATTTAAGGCATAAACGCTATGGTCCAACATATTAAGCAGCGAGCCGTGCAGCCGTGATTTGCACGGTCAGTAAGCCGTTCAGACCACGAGAATATTTGCATCGTTAATCACCGGGAGATCCCCGGGCAACCTGTACAGTGCTAGAGCTAGAGACAATGTAGCTCTAGCACTGTAGCCCTTGCTCGCCACAGGCGGACAACTTGTGGTGAACAAGGGCTATAGTACTAGAGCTACAGACAAAGCAGCGTGATATCAGGAACAAAGCAGGAGCAGTGAACACTGTCATCGATATCAGTACCTACATGTATTTGTATTTTAATTACATGCAATAAAGATTTAATAATAATAATAATAATAATAATAATAATAATAATAATAATGATAATGATCATAATAGTGCTTCGTTTGTAAACTAGATATTAACTATGACTTGTATATTTCCTATTTGCCGCTGTAAACTGTATATATATATACACTACTTATGCACAAATAAACATCTTGAATCTTGAATCTTGAAAATGATAATGATAATGATAATAACAATGATAGTGATAATAATAATAATAATAATAATAATTAATAATGACCTCGCGCAGCATCAGAGGTCGCATGTGTCTCTCCCAGATGCTTGCAAGAAAGATCATCATCAGATAGGCACAGGCGAGCGGGAAGGAGCGGCATTTCATCATGTGGTCCGCAAACTTCGCCATCGTATCGGCAGTCAGCGCCATGTCTCCGACTGGAAAATTGTAGCAAACAATTCAGGGTAATTAGCATACACCGGGAAGGTGTGATCATTTAATCTTGTAATGAAAGCTCTTCACAGCCCAAGGATATATACACTGAAAGTTACTATACAGAATAAAGAGTTGGGAATTGAGCAGGTCGGTGTATGGATCGAGGCCCGATCCCAGTTTAGCACCCCGGATCAGTTTAGCACATAATATATGCAAATTATAATTAAGGAGTCCCAAACTAGGATTGAGCATGGATGGCCGGCCACGATTCACGAATAGCACTGCAGAGGTTTCAATGTCATAACTGATGGGAAAGGGTCGAGTTTCAGTACTAATAATTAGTGATGTCACGATCATCGATTATACTCGATCATCGGTTGAACACTGGCTCGAACCAAGCGCTTGGTTATCAAAATCCATAATCGATTTCATCGAAAAAAAGAAAAAAAAAATCGAAATAAATGTAAAGCTTGAACAAGAAAACTTGGAAAAGTGATGAGAATCAGAGATATCATCGCTACTATACAAGTTATCCTTTATTAACATACATGTATTATACACACAGTAGTAATCAGTGCAAAACAAACAGTAAACAGGTCTAAACAAGCACATACATACACACACGTACATGCACACGACGTTACGCACACGCAGGCATTCAACACCCCGAGTAACCGATTGTAACCGATCATCGGTTACTTGGGTCCAACCGATGATCGATTACGAAATTACAACTGATTGACAACACTACTAATATTAAATAGTAGTACTCAGTAGTAGCTAGGCCTAGTATAGCTCTAGTACTATATAGTCCGCGTACAGTTGCCGCAGGCACTGCGGCCTGCAGGCCTGCGGCCAGTTGCTGGCCTGCGGCAACTGTACGCGGGCTATAGAGTACGGTATAGTACTAGAGCTAGGCCTAGTAAGGCTCATAGGGTCTATGTCCCCCAGGGTACTGCCGGAACGTACCCTGGGTATGGTCCGGTATACCGGAACATACCCTGGTCACTATTTGATATGGTTAGGGTTAGGATTAGGATTAGGGTTAGGGTTAGGGTTCGGGTTCAGGTTAGGGTTAGGGAGTAGGCGTAGGGGACTCCCTAGACTCTTTAGTGGAGTAGGCGAGGTACGGTTCGGCATATAATATAGTACCAGGGTACGTTCCCGTATACCGGACCGTACCCAGGGTACGTTCCGGCAGTACCCCGGGGGACAGTACACATCAGCTAATGTTAATGTTGACACAGAGCGATTCACGAGCAAAAATCTCTCGCTCGCATGTGTCCTTGGAAGCGAGCAGTTAAAGTTAAATCCCTCTCGCATAGGGCGGTGCCTATCTCCGTTTCAGTAACCTTGAGGCCCGGCAGCTGCTTTCACAGTAAATGCTACAGTAGGGTTAGTCCACTGGTAGCACTGCGAGTGTGAGCAGTACGGGATCGAATTTAAAAGGTGATTAGTATGGCACCTTACCTGCTGCCTGCAGTGGTGACGCGCACTATGGTGACAATAAACTATACGCAATACAATTGTATGCATATTGCAATTGTGGATATTGTTGGTATAGCAACAGCACATTATAACAATACAACTACACAATGCAATTGTATGTATATTGCAATTATGGATATTGTTAGGGTTACAGCCCTATAGACCGAAGGTCCGATAGACCGAAGGCCCGATAGACCGAAGGTGTATTCGAATACGCAGTGCCTACACATCCGGAATCGGTCGCCTAGCCTCCAGGCTACGCATCCGGACATCCACGATGCCGTATTCGAACGTGAATATGCCGCACATCCACCGATGCCACTATAAATCATATGATGCCACTATATACCATATATATGCCCTAACCCTAACCCTAACCCTAACCCTAACCCTATACCCTAACCCTAACCCTAACCCTAACTCTAACCCTAACTCTTTGCAATATTCGGTCTATCGGACCTTCGGTCTATAGGGCTACCCCCATTGTTAGTATGGTAACAGCACATTATAACAATGCAATTGTATGTATATTGCAATTGTGTGTATTGTTGGTATGGCAACAGCACACTATAACAATACAACAACACACAATGCAATTGTATGTACATTGCAACTGCGTGTATTGTTGGTATTGTCACAATACACTACGGTATTGCAATGGTGACAATGGTGATGCTGCTGCGCGGGTGATCGCAGCGATGACGACGACGCGTCAGGCAATGACACGCTCGTGACACCTTACCGGCATCCCACACACTGCTCGCTCATCCATACTCGGTATGGCGCCCCCTACATGTAGGTGTGCCTGTAGTGGTAGCGCCCCCTACATGTAGGTGAGCCTGTAGTGGTGGTGCCCCCTACATGTAGCCGTGGTGCAGGTAGCGGCGGCGCCCCCTACATGTAGCCGTGGTGCCTGTAGTGGTGGCGCCCCCTACATGTAGCCGTGATGTAGGTAGTGGCGGCGCCCCCTACATGTAGCCGTGGTGCCTGTAGTGGTGGCACCCCCTACATGTAGCCGTGATGTAGGTAGTGGCGGCGCCCCCTACATGTAGCCGTGGTGCAGGTAGCAGCGGCGCCCCCTACATCAGTTGCATGCTTGCGAATTAACATGGCCCGGGTATCGAGGCCAGTATATCGTCCGTGGGGCCAATGATATACGTGTTAAATGACAAGCCCGATGGGCCAGTGGAAAAAATAGAGTAAATGGTCTATTTTTATATGATATTTTAAGCTTCTTTATGCTGATGATCAGTCTGAAGAATATACTGAAACCAAAAAATTCCCGATATTTTGTATGAAAACTCTTACCTATATTTACCAATAGGCATCATTATTCTCCCGATTTTAAGTCAGGGGAAGTAACAAGTAACAAATGCGCTGTTGTTCGCCGCTAGATGGTCGCTAACAACTTCCGGTTCTGGTCGGCGGTTCGGTTTTCTGCTTTTCATATATGATGCAATCATTGATTGCGTGGCCTGTAAAACCTAGTGTGGGCGCAGTGAATTATACATTTGCTAACAGGGCCCAGCTGAGGGCACATGAGCGGGTTGGTAAAGTTTTTCGTGGCAGACTGCTACATGTAGGCATGGCCGGTTAGCCGTGGCTTCGGCAGGGTAGCAGCAGCGCCCCCTACTATTGTGAGGCGTCTGGCCGAGTAGTAGTTTGAGAGAAGCAGCATCCATCATGAGTGCGCGTAAGCGGCGCTGTAGACGGCGAAGCGCGTGGTGCAGGTAGTGGTGGCGCCCCCTACATGTAGGCGTCGGCAGCATAGTAGTTTGAGAAGAGCAGCATACATCATGAGTCCGTAAAGCGCGCGCTGTAGACGCAGAACCGTCGTGGTGCAGGTAGTGGTGGCGCCCCTACATGTAAGGCGCTTGGCAGAGTAGTTTGAGGAAGAGCACGCATCATCATGAGTCCGTAAGCGGCGCTGTAGACGGCAGAAGCCGCGTGGTGCAGGTAGTGGTGGCGCCCCATACATGTAGCCGTCCCCCCCCTCCTGTGATTTGCAGGTAGTGCGTGGCGCCCCGACATGTAGGCGTGGCGGTAGTAGTTTTGAGAAGAGGCAGCATCATCATTGAGTCCGTAGCAGCATGCTTGTAGATAGACAGAAGCCGTGGTGAGGTAGTGGTGGCGCGCCCTACATGTATGGCGTGTGTGCAGGTAGTGGGGCGCCCCTACATGTAGCCGTGTGTGGCAGGTAGTGGTTGGCGCCGCCTACATGTAGGCGTGTGCGCAGGTAGTGGTGCGCCCTACATGCTAGGCCGTGGTGGCAGGTAGTGGATGGCGGCCCCCGCTACAATGTAGCGTGGCGGTAGTAGTTTTGAGAAGAGCAGCATCATCATAGAGTCCGTTCAGGCGCGCTGTAGATGCAGAAGCCGTGGTGCAGGTGTGTCGGCGCGCCCCTACATGTCAGCGTGGCGGTTAGTCTAGTTCGAGAGAGCAGCACATCTCATGAGTCCGTACAGCATGCTGTAGATGCAGAAGCCGTGGTGCACGGTAGTGGTGGTGCCCCTAGCATGTAGCCAGTGATGGCAGGTAGTGTTGGGCGCCGCCATACATTAGCGTCGTGGCGGTAGTAGTTTGAGAGAGCAGCCGTTCATTCGAATCTCCNGGCGCCGCCTGGGGCTCCAATGAGGGTGGGAAAGTTTTTCGTGGCAGACTGCTACATGTAGGCGTGGCGGTAGCCGTGCTGCAGGTAGCAGCAGCGCCCCCTACATGTAGGCGTGGCAGTAGTAGTTTGAGAAGAGCAGCATCATTGTGAGTCCGTAAAGCGCGCTGTAGACGCAGAAGCCGTGGTGCAGGTAGTGGTGGCGCCCCCTACATGTAGGCGTGGCAGTAGTAGTTTGAGAAGAGCAGCATCATCATGAGTCCGTAAAGCGCGCTGTAGACGCAGAAGCCGTGGTGCAGGTAGTGGTGGCGCCCCCTACATGTAGGCGTGGCGGTAGTAGTTTGAGAAGCGCAGCGTCATCGTGAGTCCGTACAGCACGCTGTAGATGCAGCCGTGGTGCAGGTAGTGGTGGCGCCCCCTACATGTAGCCGTGGTGCAGGTAGTGGTGGCGCCCCCTACATGTAGGCGTGGCGGTAGTAGTTTGAGAAGAGCAGCGTCATCGTGAGTCCGTACAGCATGCTGTAGATGCAGAAGCCGTGGTGCAGGTAGCCCCAGCCTCCGAACATCATCCCTACGACGAACTGGAGGATCTGCAGCTGCGTGAGCGCACGCTTCCAGCCGACGTCGACGCGTCCGTGCAGCACCGTCACGCCGTAGTAGCAGTAGAGCAGCACGTGCACGAAGCTGTTCAGTCCCAGCATGACGGCGATCGCTGGCCACGTGTACCTGACGGAGGAGAGATAAAGAGACATAGCTGACGGAGAGATAGAGAGACGTAGCTGACGGAGAGATAGAGAGACGTACCTGACGGATAGATAGAGAGACGTACCTGACGGAGAGATAGAGAGACGTAGCTGACGGAGAGATAGAGAGACGTAGCTGACGGAGAGATAGAGAGACGTAGCTGACGGATAGATAGAGAGACGTACCTGACGGAGAGATAGAGAGACGTACCTGACGGATAGATAGAGAGACGTACCTGACGGAGAGATAGAGAGACGTACCTGACGCTGACGGAGAGATAGAGAGACGTAGCTGACGGAGAGATAGAGAGACGTAGCTGACGGAGAGATAGAGAGACGTAGCTGACGGATAGATAGAGAGACGTAGCTGACGGATAGATAGAGAGACGTACCTGACGGATAGATAGAGAGACGTAGCTGACGGAGAGATAGACGTACCTGACGGATAGATAGAGAGACGTACCTGACGGAGAGATAGAGAGACGTAGCTGACGGATAGATAGAGAGACGTACCTGACGGAGAGATAGAGACGTACCTGACGGAGAGATAGAGAGACGTACCTGACGGAGAGATAGAGAGACGTACCTGACGGATAGATAGAGACGTACCTGACGGAGAGATAGAGA